TCAAAGGCATCAATTCTCCTTCTGTCCTCCCTAGTCATTGTCCAACTCTCTGATGCATAACAAGTGATTGCAAAGACCATGGCCTGTATCAAGTGCACCTTAGTTTCCAGAGAGACACCGTTGCTCTTGAGTACTTTAGAGAGGTCCCTAACAGCAGAGTTTCCCATCGCAATACGTTTTTTTATTTCCTGACTGCTGGTGCCAAGAGTGTTGACCGTGGAGCTGAGCAAACTGAAGCTGTGAACAATCTGAATCTCTTCGCCATCCATTCTGATGCTACCGATTGGTCCAGTGGTGAGAATCTTTGTATTCTTGACATTGAGCCTCAGTCCATACTGAACAAGCTGTCAATTTATAAACAACTCTTGCTCTTTAATGCAGGGCTTTGAGCTGATTCTGTTAAAGCAGAAAAACAAAGCAAGAATAGATTGGAATTTTTAATTTGAAAGATTCATCACAGTAATTAGAATAGAAAACAAATTGTGGATTGAAGTTTTGACTGAGAGATTCAGAAGTGTTATGTTTTTGTTAAGTGCCATCAAGTCTAGTACTACTCATGGTGACCCTATGAATGACAGATCTGAACTCTGGCCTATTCTATGACATCCTCATCTTCTCTGACATACTTGAGTCTGTTACTTCAGTTACTGTCTCATTTCATCTTGTCAACCCTCTATCTTCCAAAGCATGAACTTGCTCAAAGTACGTGAGGTGAAGTTTGTCATCTTTGCCTCTGAGGAGCACTTTGGTTGTACCATGTCTGTCTGTTCTTTTGGCAGTCCATGAAATACACAGTACACTTCTTCAGCACCACAATTCAGAGGCATCAGTTCTTCTGTTGTCCTTATTCATTGTCCCGCTCTCAGATGCATAGCAAGTTATTGAAAAGACTATAGCCTGAATGAGTTACACCTTAGTCTTCAAGCTATTTTATGAATATAGTCTATTTATGTTTTACTGACTATGCAAAAGCATTTGGCTGTGTGGATCAATGACTAACATTGAAAATAATGGATATCCCAGAATACTTCACTATGCTCTCTGAAACCTCTACCTAAACCAAGAGGCTATTGTGCAAACAGAGCAAGGGAACACTGCATGGTTTAAAATGAACAAAGGTGTGCGTCAGGGCTGTGTCCTCTCTCCATACCTGTTAAGTCTGTTTGCTGAACAAATCATTCAAGAAGCTTGACTTCATGAGGAGGAATGTGACTTAGATTTATCAACAGCCTACATTATGGAAATGACACAGTCTTACTGCAAGTGAAGAGGACTTGAAACTCTTGCTTCAAAATATGAAGGACCTTTAATATGGATTGCCTCTCAATGTCAGGAAAGCAAAAATTCTCACCGCTTGACTAATGGGCAACATCATGATAGATGGAGTAAAGATTGAGATTGTCAATGGCTTCACTTACTTGGGTTTGCAATCTACACCCTTGGTACCAGCAATCAGGAGATCCAGAGATATTGCTGCATTGGGAAAATCTGAGGTCAGGAACCTCTCCAAATTACTAAGGAACAATGATGTCAGTTTGAAGATAAAGATGCATGATTCAGGCAATGGCTTTTTCTTCATAAGAGCTATGTTGTTGCTGTTGTTAAGTGCCAGTGAGTCATAGATGACTCATAGCGATCCTATGAATGAATGAAAGACCTGGACCCTTGTATAACTTTCATCGTTTCTCCAGGTTCGTAGAGTTTCAGGAGGCAAGCTATTTTAGAAGTTGAATACCAGTTCTGCTTCCAAACTTGTGTTTTAATTGGGGAGCTCCACCAAACACTGTCTACCATGGGTAACCATTATCACCTTTGACACATAGTGAGCCCTTTTCAGGAGCATGGTGCCTAAGATTGGATTATTGGCAGAATTGTAAAGTAACATACACATTCAAAGTGGCATGGCTGGGCACCATGTTTCAGTGGGATACTACTTTCCTTGAAGTCCTGAATTAATGTTAAGTAAATTTGCCTTCACTTAAAAAGGTTTCAGCTAACCCTTACTCCTACCATTCTTTGTTGCAGTTACCATTTACTTATTATACATGGAGTTTTAAATCGAGAAATCTTTAAGATTTTTCTTGCACTTAAATCCCCCCACCCTCACAAAAAAAGCCCACACAAACGCCAAACGAACAAGACAGTATAATTCCCCTGCTTTTTAGTGAGTTCTTCCTTATGAAAGCCCTTCATCAAGTTTCTGAGGCTGTAAATCTTAATTGATGAGGATTCCCATCATATTTCTTCACCAGAATGGCTAATGTAGTTGAGCCACTAATCTTTCAGTTAGCAGCCAATACATAACTCACGATGACACTGGGGCTTGCTTTCTTGCACTTAAAATATGGTTGTATAAGATCTATATGCACTTGTTCTAACAGACCTAGAGCTTCTTAAAAGATGTAGAAACTGATCTTATTCATAACCTGATGACTAGTTATATCTCTTCTTTCTAGTTTTCATTCATGTCTTTTATTTTAATATTTGTACAGATCTGATCTCTATTTGTCCTTGGAGCCTAGAAACATTGCACATAAGCGTAGAGCTTTTTAAATACATAGATATGTAAAACAATAAAAATCATAAAAATTCATTCTAATAATGACAAGTTGGATAGTGATGAATGCATTGTCAGTTGTCGTAATCATTGGTTTTGTGGAAAATTCTCAATCTACTCGATTATCCCTGTGAATGAGGATAGTGTTTCTACCTTCTACATATGAAATCATCTAGGATTGTCTTTATGATCCTTTTCTTTATTCTTCATGTGTTTAGTAGTAGTAGCACATTGCTTTTCAAATCTGCATATTTTGTCTCTAGTAAAACTGTCCTTTGCATCTGTGTTGTAAGATACTCCCATCTTGAATTAAGTTTAGGAAAATCTTCAATTATTCTTTTCCCTTCGTTGTAAATTATCTTGACAGGGTTTCTTCTTCTTCCTCAGCATTTCTTTTCTCTTCAGTTTCCATCAAGTCCTAATCTGTCTGTTCACATTCTTCCCGCACTGGAAACTGTTTCATATTAGCATTTTCAGTCTGTGCTCTGCAGCACTGTATGCCACTTGCTTACCTTCACCTTTCCAGATTTTGCATATACTGTAGTATCATTTTGTTCTGTAAACACAATTGCTTTTTGGTCTATGTATAGGTTTCACATGAGTACAGTTGAGTGCTTTGGAATTTCCATGTTTCTCAGTGTTAAGCTGGAATTTGTTGTGATCCACAGTTTTTGTTTGAATAATAAATAAAACACAAACAAACTAGCATCTTTTGGATGTTCTATGCTTTCAGTCAAGCATATTTTCAAACAAAAGTAATTTTCACTAGTTAACTTGTCAATACCTAATCAGAAAATGACAATATTTAAATGTGTGTGTATATATTTGTGTTGTTACATGCCGAGTCCCCTGTAACTCATAGCGACCCTATGTACAACAGCCTTAAATCATGCTCTATCCCTTGGCCAATCTTATTGTCTCCAACACGCGCATCCCCATTATCCCAGTGACTGAATCAATCCATCTAAAGGGTCTTCCTCTCCTGCGCTGTCCCTCTACCCTCCCAAGCATGAGGTCTAAATAAATATAAAATTCTGTTTCTTTTCAGGATAAGTCGTATTAATAACACTGTTTATCATATTAAGGAATAATGGGTTTCTTTTAAAAAGCTATCTTACTATTTTCCAACTTAAAAAAACACACATTTAGTGAGGGTTTTGTGAGGAAATTGTAATAATTTCTCAGAGATAATGTTACATTATATGGGATGGGTGAGATGTGTTAGCCACTATTCTGGTTCAGCTCCTGGAGCTTCAGTAGGGACCCAGCCATCTGATCCTGTTAGTTTCTGATATCAGATAACATCAATGCTTTGCCTTTATAGAAGGAGAAGAGGCTGATGGGTAGGCAACTACTAGTATACCAGACTGCAATAATAGTTTGTGTTGTAACATAGTCCCTGTATTGTATAGTTATTTTTTTAAAAAATGAAACTTTTGTATTTGGAGCTATAAAATATTTTCATTTTAGAAGCAGTTTGTTATCTTCTGAGTGTTACTTCATGATTGATGTAGGAATACAATGTTTTGATTTATAATTTTAATAACTCACTGTAATCATTTTTGGCTTGGTTACAGTCATCATCATCCCCCCCCCCACCCCGATCTATTTCCTTACTGACACTACATGACTTGTAATTTCTGCTTCTTTCTTTTTCTCACAGGTGGATTCTCCACGGTTTTCCTAGTGAGGACTCATGGTGGCGTACGATGTGCATTGAAACGAATGTATGTCAATAACTTGCCAGACCTCAACATTTGTAAAAGAGAAATTACAATTATGGTAAGCAAAAGAGTAATTTTGTTTTAGTAATTTGGGATATGTTCTTTTTGTTTTACACTATAAAAGAAACAGATTTTAGGCAAGCTGGTTGTGGTTTTTATTTTTTTTAAATTATTATTAATTTCAATGAAAATTTACAGAGACTTTGGATTTCCATTCATTCATTGTGGCACCTTTCTCTCCTCCCACCCTTCCGCCCCTAGTATACTTCCCTCTTGGAAAAGTAAAAGAAAAATTCTTTGTTTTATAATCCCTCCCCCCAGGTCCACTCCACTATGCAGCCTTTGCTCTGGACTCCTGTCATGACAAAAATACCTAATCACATATCCTTTTAAAACAATTTCTCTCTCATCTGTTTCAATGCAGTATACATTATTGAAGCCATCTTTCTCAGTCTCCTCCCAACCCTGAGTTCAGTCATTTTACAACAGTGGCACCATGCAGTATTTGTCCTTTTGTAACTGAGATACTTCACTCAGCATAATGTCCTCCAGGGTCACCCATTTTGAATAATACTGCATGAGTTCCTTGTTTTTCAGTGTAGCATTGTATTCCATTGTGTGAATATACCACAGCTTCTCTATCCATTCGTTTGTTGATGGGCCCTTAAGTTGTTTC